CCTCTGGGATTATTAAAGTATTTCTGACTCTGATTCTGCTTTATGTCCTACCTTGCTAACATGAAACAATTGTGTTAAAGTAACTAAATATGATTAGGTAAATGCCAAAAGTGATTGGATTAGTTTGTCCAGTGATGAACAGCATTTCTACCACATATTGCATTATGAATTTAGACTTAATAGTATAAATTTGTCTCATCAAACCAGAATACTTTGTTGCATGATGTTTGGTAAGTATGATGGGGATTTAATCTCTGCTTTTCTTCTTGCCTGTCCTTCATAATGACCAGATTTGTGGAGAATTTAACTAAAGAGTTATACTAACTGATTCTCCAAGCTGGTGATCTCTAGAGTGAGAGCTACTGGGCCTCTGCTTTTCTCACAGACTTGCTCCTTACCCAGCCAGTTAGTTTAGATGGCAGTCTGTTTCTGTGATAAACTCACATGATGGATGGAACAGTGCTCTGTTTAATTTGGAAACCCTTGGACACATTTTCATAAACTTAGCCTGCGTGTAACTTCTCCAGTACTTTAATATATACAGAGTATTGTATTGGTCTAAAAATCTGAAAAGAAATGTAATATGAAATCAAAGCAGCATTAGATGGGCTGTGTGACTTCACTATGTTTCCACATGCCAAGATTCACCGACACTAGAACCATCCCCTCAGCAGCAAATGTTCAACACTCAGCAGGGTAATATTTGGGTATCTGCGGGAACAGTGTGCGCCTCGCTTTTTCAGTGAGAACGGCTTCCCGCAGCGCCCTCTGCTGGACCCCACACCCCCCTCCCCCCCTTTATAAATTGCTCTGGATGCCTCGATACGCGTGCAGTCAGTGAAAAAGACGCGTCCGCTCCTTCTAGGGGAGCGCACAGCTTTGCAAGCAATCCAGTGGAGCGAGAGAGAGATAGAGGGGGAAAAAAGTCTTCGGGTTGTTGCACTTTCAAATGAGTTCTTTAAACCTCCTCTAATATGCTGGCATAGATAACAGATTTTCGTGTGGCAGTTTTGGAACAGTTTATGGGACTAAGTGCGTAAAAAGGGGCAAGAGAAGCAGCCAGTCTGAGCCCATAATGCGGACACATCAAGTCCGCGGCGCAGCGGACCCTAAGAAGCTGCTTTCATGGATCCACTAACTGATTGATTGGCTCTGATATATTTTTATTTGTTTATCCAGATCTAAGGGAATTCTTTCGACTTCCTCAGTAAGAAGCAAAGGATTTTGGATTTTTATCTTTTTGGGCGTCGAGGATTTTTGTTATTTCTTAGGGGATGCGTGTTAGTTTTGGGATAAATTAGGATATTTATTCTGTTTTTGTCCTCCAAGTAAGACTTTGCCAAGAAACTGTGGAAGGAAATTAAACTTTCAATCGCTGGAGATATTTGTCTAATTGGAGTCTTAATCGTCTCAACATGAAGTCTGGCACACTACGGATGCGCGTCTGTATTTTCCTTGTGCTCATAGGTAAGAAGTGAAACATTATGCTGATATTGGGATATATATCTGTGTGCTTTTATTTCTTCAATGAATAATGAAAGCCTAAGAAATGTAAGGGAATGCTGTTTTGAAATGCGGCCACTTTTATTTGGTAGATTTGTTTTGTCAGACTAAAGTTAATGTGTTCATTGCATTAATAAAGTTCTAATGGTTAAAGCTGATTGACTTAGTTACATAATGAATTATAGCAAAACATTATCAGAACGAATGTATTCATCAGAAGGTAAATGTAGGCGACTTATCTTAGACATAAAAACCCATACTTTTATGAAAATAAACATACTAATTTCTGTCTCAGTGAATCTCATGTGTAGATTCTTAATAAAATATTAATTTTTTTATCCAGTTAATTTTAATCTAAGTTCACATTCATTTCTTATAAAGACAATATTAATAAACTGAGTATCTACCACCTCCAAAATATTTACAATTTACATAAGAATTGCGTGCGCTGATTACAAAGCTACAAACTGACATTATTATTTTTTTGTTCTATTGAACTTTTATATAACATAGCCTTTGCACACATAATCGATACAGCACACCCTTTGCTCTTGGTTGATCAATTCACAATGTCATCACAAGGGGTCTCTCTTGTCATTTCACCAAAGCAGTGTAGATGTTTGCATGTACTGGTGGTTTCGCATCCTGGACATTGTAAAAGTAGCATTCTTTGCTCAGAAGATTCATTGTAAACCTAATTTTCTGCTTATTTGGTTTCAGAATGAGAGAAATTGTTAACCAGACATCAGATCAATTGATATTTCAACCTTTCTGGGTCTCTTATTATAATTTAAAAGTCTTAGGGAACTATAAAGTCTAGAGTTGAGGTAGCAGGGATACTCACCGAAATGAATATCAAAAATCCATTTATTACAGCCATGTAAATATATACAGAGCGGAATGTCAAAAGCTATTACGTTCTTTATAATTAGCTTTTTTTTGCTTATTACAAAAATATAATCTCAAACTTGATTAAATGTATACAGAAGTGGTTGCATTTTATTTTAAAAGAAAATCAGTTAGGGAGGTGATAATAGACCCTGTATCTTGACATGCGATTTAAGTATGATCATAATTCTTGAATTATCAAATGCACAAACATATGTAATTGTATGTTCCTTCGTTCTAGGTTCGTTGGAAGGTTCCTCTGCTTTCATAGCGCCCATGGCCAACATATCTCTAGGATTTCCAAGCACCAGGTCTGCACGTGAGGCCCAGTCACAGTGGGTAGACTGCATCCAGGCCAGTGAATTGTGCACCAACGATCCTCACTGCAGCCCCTGGTACCGGGTGATGCGCCAGTGCCTCGTGGGCAAGGAGAAGGATGCCATGCTGGATAACAACCGAGACTGCAAGACTGCTGTGGAAGTTCTGCATAAAAGTTCCCTGTATTACTGCCGTTGCAAAAGGGCTATGAAGAACGAGCTGCAGTGCCTACAGAACTACTGGACCATTCACATGGGACTCAATGAAGGTAGGGAGCAGATAATAATAGATGCCTTAAAAAACATGTAATGGTAATTATAGTGCGATTCCAACATTGTCTAAAACTAGCTCTTGCTTAAAAGACTAAATCCTTTACCTTTCACCTCATTGCCTGCATCCTCCTGTCTGTGTGACTTATCATCATATATTTACGGATGCAGTGAATGGCTTTAAATGAGCCCAACAGTAAAGTACAAATAACATGCCCACAAAAGACAGGCGTGATGCTGCAGTAAATTATCTGGGAATATACATGCATAATGCACATCAGACAAATTGACACGTCATTTATAATGAGCATATTTTTGTATCATAGCAGTAGTCTCAGACTCACATCCTCAAGGGCCAGTGTCCTGCAACTTTTAGATGTGTCCCTTACCTCACACACTGAAAGAAAATGTTTGAACTGCCTCACTGGAATGCAATAAAGCTCTACAGATATCTGCTAATAAAGGTGTAGTTAAGTGACCAGGTGTGTTAAAGGAGAGACACATCTAAACGTTGAAGGACAACGACCCTTGAGGCCTGCATTTGGAGACCACTGCACTAAAACATCTCCTTAACATCATTTTGGGTTTTGAGGAAGTAAAGCATGATGTACTCTCTTATGTCCTCTTATAGAGCTACCAAGAGGCCATCCAATGAAAGAAAAAAAAACACATGCTTTTCCACTTTCCTCTGGTTCAAATGGAGGTGTAATGGGATTACATTAGGCGGGCTTGTTATTGTTTTTCACCTAAAGTGTTCCATTTTACCTTGTAATTAGGTTAGGGCTGTAGAGGAACGTGGTCCTTATGTGTCCACTTAACCAGTACAGAGGATTGCATCCTTCAAACATTGCAAACCTTCTGTTTTTTTGTGTGTGTGTTTTTTTTTTATCCCTGCCATTTATTTAAGAGAACGTGGCAGCTGGAACATGTAATACTGCAGATATGCAGATGTTTTTGTATTTATATCTTGATGGATGACCTATTGCCTATTAAGTTCCTTTAATCTATGCAGTTACTGCAAATTTGCTGGCTGCACATCTTTGATGAGAAGTTCCACTTCCTCCCAAAGATACTCTATTCTATTAAGTTCTGATAGCCATGAAGACCAGTTGATACAAGTTTATAATAGCCTAAGCTCTGTGTAATGATTCAGTGGAGTAAGTCATCACAAGATGGTGGGACTGTGCACATAAAGAGATGAACATGGTCAGCTGCATTACTGAAGCTGTGGTGTTACCTGTTGTGTCTTGACGATGCTCAGTCAGTTCTAAAACAACCTAAAGTGTTAATGGAAATTATTGTTTTATATTTATAGATGGTGTCCTGGCCATCGAGATTTTAGAGTGTTCATTTGTGCTCTGTTGCCTTTCTGTCATCTCAAATCAATTTACCCATTCTCCCTTGACCTCTGAGTCATTTTCTAACACATAACTGTCACTCACTGGATATTTTCTCTTTTTTGAACCAACCTCTGTCATAGATCAGAGGTTTTCAAAAGTCCAATGCATCTGGTATGAGTAACCCTGGCATATTCATGTCCCCTAAACACTCTCTCTTCCTCATGCCGATTTGGTTTGAACTGCATCTCACCTCAAATTACATTGCGTCGTTGCTATCTACTTGGTGGATTTGGTATAGGTGTTAACATATTGAAGTAGCTCATAAAGTGGCCAGCAAATCTATATCCAGACACAGAGACCTAAAACTTGCAGATGTAGAAGAGACCCTAATACAAGAGTGGCATTTATGTAATGTGTGTATGCGTGTGGTCTGAATGTCTGTGATTGGTATCAAGTCATGCTGTCAATTTGGATGACACAATGCACTCAGCTGTTTTGACACAAGGGGTAATGGTTGAAATGTCGCAGAGCCCCTGAGTGTTCTGGACTCATGTTTGCTGATCCGTGAAATGATTCACTAGGCTGATTGCTCATAGCACCAGTTACACTTCGCAAAGCAAAGAGAGTGACATGGATGCTCCGCGGGCCTTCTGTCTTTCATATCTTCCCCTTCATTTCTTACTCTTAGTAATGACCAGTAAGTTCTTCCTTCAAACTCTCCTATCCCTTCCTTTAACATGGATGGCAGTAGTTGGAGCATTTGATTGTGTTGTGAAAAGCCCCAAAGCTGTCAAGCAACTTCAGGTACTACACATTCTTTTTTTAGGGGAATTCCTCTGCACTGCCCTGCTTTAGTCTTTAGTGATAACACCCACTTAACACTATACTGAAAAAAAAAACAAAACTTAACACTATACTGTAAAATGCAGCTATAATCTACCCTGATTCAAAACTATAGTCCTGCAGAGCAGGTTTTGGTTTGTGGACGTTTTTCTCAAACCTACAGCAAATAATTAATGTTTGCAGAAACTTGTAAATAGTATTTACTCAATTCAATACATTTACATAAGAAAATATTTTATTAATCCCAAAAAAGAAATTAACTCCCAAAAAAAAGGTTTAGATTTAGTTGGGATACAAGACCTTAATTTTGAAACAAGTGGTGCTTGAAGCAGATTTAAATCAGTTTAAAGCTCTTTGTAGTTGTGATTTCTGTAAAACAAAACAATGAAATTAAGTGCTGTGGTTGTTTTTATGACCTCTCTGAAAGTTTAGACTTATGAACCAACTAGAATGATATTAAGTTTTGTTTACACCTGATCTTATCTTGTCAACTTGAATGTTGTGATCCTTGTTGGACAACTCATCCAAACAGACTTTGAAATGTGTTTGAAGTTAGCACTTAAAATGGGAACACAGTTACTTCCGCTTCTGGCTAAAAAAAACACAAGCAAGCATAAGTTCCGATGAGCTCTTATTGCTTTGCCCTGTGGAAATTAATTTCTTCAGAGCACTCAGCTCCACAGTACTTTAATTACTGGAACATTTTAAATCATAAAAATATTACAAAAAAGTTAATTTCTTTTAGTTATTTAGTGTTAAAGGAAAACTCATATTTCTTAAGTTGTTCCACACTGAGTGATATCTTTCATGCGTTTATTTCTATTAATTGTGATGGTTGTGTCATAGAGCTAATGAAAATTAGAGTTTACTTTGGAAAACCAATGAAAGAACAAATTTAACAATGGAATGCATTTATATGGAAATGTCATGGCTTTCAAAAATCATCCTGACTTGTCAGTTGTTCAGCTGAAAGACACAGAACCCAGCTCCAGAGATTCAGTAGCCGCTATAATGTTCTTTGTGTTACAACACTCTTGAACCAGAGTGGAGGCACTGTTAAAAGCCTTGTACAAGAACTAGTTGGCAGTCATACAATGCCTTATTAATATAAGATGGATAAGGTTTATAAGATAAAAGTATATAAGATAAAAGTAAAAGTGGATCCTCTGCCGGATTTTTAAGACAGAGGATCCACTTTTTTTAGGTAAAGCATGAAGTTAACAGCTCCACAAATTCATGTGCCTGAATTATATGGTGTAAAAAATGTCAAATTTAAAGCGCATATCCTTATTATAGATCTCATAATAATAACCCATGCATCCCTCAGATAAAGTCACTACTTCAGAAATTAGACTTTAATTAAGCAAGATATGTTTTAGCATTTTACTTTGCTAGATCTTATTCATGATGTTTACAGCCCGGTCTTCAGTTTGGAGGGTTTTTTTTTTTTAATCAACTCCCTACAGTACATTTTAGATAAGACAAAATTTATAATCTAGCTATGCTTCACAGACCAATTTTACCTCTGAAACAATGGAAGAAGCAATTATTCTGTGGCAATGTTCATAATAAAAGTTACAAACATGAAAAAATGATAAAAAGGCAATCTTTGAATTTATAGGATTTCATAATGATTCCCTTATAATGCTGATAAGAGTGTTATAATAAAGTAAAACATTTTCCTTCTCATATTATTTTCCAAACATTATTCAAAATCTTAAATGAATTATAAAGCATGACTTTCTCAGATTTACTTTAATCCAGCTTACTTACACTGTTGATTTTAAGCACATCCTCATACAGAGAAAATAATGATGTGTGAAGAGCAGAGTTCTTGTCTCTGTTAGATTTAATTTGACGCCAAAAGAAAACATGGGATGGGGTAAAGCTCATCCATTAAACCTTTTTGTTACATAAACTGCGTGACATGTGATTCTCACTGCTCTTTCGGTCTGATAACTGAAAATGTCACACATATTTAAAGGCAATTTCAAGTCTGCTTAACGTCTTAAAAGTCAAGTAGCACCACATTTAGTGCAAAGTGCCCTGGTGGAAAGGCTCTTGAGCTTCACATGACATTCATACTTTAACAGCGGACAAAGTTGCTGGATATTTAAGGTCTGAGATACGTTTTTTAGCAAATTTGATGCTATAGATTATGTTAAAACCCTAAGTCACTACTGAGATTACTTTCTCCTAAGTCTCCACCTGGCCTCAGCTGACTCAACCCACCCAGGTTTGTTATCTCTAAGCCTATATTATTTCCCTGTTTTCATCTTCGGTCCCCGTCCTCTTCAACAGGCAGGTGGACAATATAGCAGCTGACATCGTACATTAACTTCCTGTCTCCTCAATTCTCCCGTCCGATTAACCGTTGGAATACTGTTTAGTAATTTTTATTGACCATTACAGTTGACTTGGATGGTGTTTAAATTTTGACTATAGGTAACCTTTAAAATACCTCATATTCTATTCTATAGAACACAGACATATGACATATGACAGTTCACACCAAAGATTGCTTTCAGGAAGTAGATGACTGAGAAAGTGCTGACTAGGAGTTTACTGAAGTATAAATATATTTTATTTGCAATGCTAAAGCAGGAAAAGAAATAACCTAATAGCTGAAATATATAGGCAAAATATACAAAATTTTAAAAATCAACAATCCTACTTTCAAACATCAAAACCCCTTTAAATTTTATTTCAGCTGGCCTGTAATGTTTGGGATGGAAGGATGCTAAACTTAGCTCCTAAACCTATGATTTCCTCGGGACATCAGCCTTCTCTCTTTTATGAGGAAGCTGCTGGTTACA